GGTTGCAGTATAGTACTTATTAGTGTACAAATATATAGCTATGTTAACAATAACATGGTACGGTGTTATGTGCCATAATGTCTGCAGTCTGCCATTGGCATCTGTTTTTTCAACAGTTATAAAATTACAATGTTGCTTTAAGATGTTCTAATTTAATTTGTATACAAATAATTGAGCCAAGTACTAAATACATTGAAATATTATATTTGTCTTTCCAACATTGTAAACAAAAATACAATTTACTAAAATACAACACATGGACCAGACATGAAGTCAGAATATATACAATAACGGACCGATAGAAAATCCTATTACAACTATCAAAGGTATATACGAACATAGCAAATTATTTATCGTATTTGTAATTTAAAATTTTCAACATTTAAATAATAGTTTGTTTTTAATTATAAATAATTTCTTTTTGTATTTTATTCACGCTCTCTTTACATTTCACGAAATTTTAGAGCTATTACATATTATTAATACGAGTATTATGTTGCTCAGTACCATAAAGATGTAATAATATTTGATCTCTTGACTTATCTGTTGGCTGTAATCTGAAATCATAAACTATTGAAAAATTTTCTTAAATGCAATCAGAATTTGGCACAACTAATTATTAACAGACCAAGAAAATATTTCATTTATTGAAAAATATATCTACTTAAGTTGTAACTAGCAATCATTGAACTGTACACGAACCATTCTCACGTATCCACTAATTTATAACCTCAAGTGTAGCTTGCCGACTGTAAATATGTAGGTAGGTACGCACCTAGTTACTGGTGACGTCTGCGAAGTTAAACACATTGAAAATAGTATGAGTGAGAGTACCCAGTGTAGTGTGTGTATCTCCAACACATACACAATAAACAACGCTGCACGCTGCTTGTGTGTGTTATATCTAAGAAGTACATATATATACATAATCATTTGCATGCAATCGATGTATGGCAATCGTTGATTCAACTGCATAGTCGATCAGTATGTCAGTTTAACACTATTTGATATTGTTTGTAAATACTACTGTGTAAAGTCGGTAACCCTTTGTTATTTGTTGGGTATTGTTCCACGTACAAATCCCACTATACCTATAAATCAACACAAAGGTGAATATTAATTGTTACTATGATTTGACATTTACTAAGTTTAATGACTTTCTCGACTAGTGCAAGTGTACCGTATTAGTAGGTACATTAAGTCTCGAAAATAATTTATTTGTCGACCTCCACGAATTTCAGAGGTTAAACAATATACACAGCTGGTGTCTGATGTTAATTGATATGTATCATACAACTTTGTTCAGAGGTAATTTTATCTTCACCCTCGATAATTATGTTATATCCTGCAATATTATTATAAAATGGCAACTTATACTGAAAGAACATAATAGAAATAATTAAAACATAAGTAACTCCTGGGTAAGAATAATAAATTGTAGAACCACTCAGGTCACATCAGATTTCAAACAAAAATTTCACATCATAATAGATACATTCGTTTAGAAGCTTCGTTGCGAGTGTCTCTGATACTCGAACACAAAGATACACGAAACAGAGAACTCAGTTTATAGAATAATAGCCTTCTCCGAGAGAGTATTTTGTGTTGCTCAACTAAGAACAATCTTGGTCTTTATTCATGCGTTTCTATATTTTCAACTGTTACTATGACTTTGTTCACTTTGTCGTTGTAATTTGACTCTATTTAAACCCCTGCTGTGCTGTGCTTTAGCTCTTCTTCTATATTCTTTGTCATTATAGTTAACGGAGTCTGACTCATATCACTTAACCTATTTATTTATCTCACTGGAATGACAAAGAAACTGACAGCCTTTCTGAAGGTAAGCCGTAACCGTCGCCGGTAAACATGAATGGCCATGCGGACGACACGTAATTATGTAATACCCGTGGTACCACTCATGCGTTGCCATTTCGGACTAAGATGTCAGGTCTCTATATCCTGTACGGCCTCGCCTAGCAGCTTGTTTTAAAAGAAGCCTTAAAGATGCAACAGAAATTCCAATGCAGACGAATTCATGCAAAGTCCATATAAATCGTACTTCTGCTGTGCTATGTTGCCCTTTAGCTTTCCGTTTGTATTCTTTGTTATTGTAGTTCAAATCGCATCGTTAAAGAATGACGTGAATCAAACTATGCTGGCACGTATTATTACGTTGCGTAAGCGTTCTCGTATATGTCGTTTACCCCGCAACCTTCGTGTATGCTTCCCGCTTCTAGTGTCGATAGTAACACGATCCGTCCTAGTTATCTATAGACGTAGCCTTGTAGTTGTTTACTTTCAATCGATTTAAACCTATAATAATCTAAGATATTATAAGCGTTTCTCGAACCTTAAGTGTACTATTCCTATTTTCGTTTGAGTATTTCATGAGTTTATTGAATGAACTACTTTTCGCTTAACGTTCATACTGATTTTTTTCAATTTGCTTAGCTCTAAATAATCGCAGCTTGATGATTATATCGTATAACTTTCCGTAAAAATTGAGCTATGAAATACAGAAAGGTTTTTTAATCCGATTGTAGTTCCCGAAAATAAATAAACTCTTTCGATGAATGTATACTTATATATTAGATTAAACGGATTGTTAGTTTTTTTTTATTTTGCCATTTTCATCTTCTCATGATTTTATTCAAGGAATTAGAATTTAAATTATTCAGTTATCATATTTATATGATATGATTGTAACTTTCAAAAATGGACACTAGCTCAAAGTTTTCACTCTGTAATTAGTAATTTCACTTAATAAAACCTTATTATATAAATAACATTTCCTTCCCGCCAGTATATAGGTATATTTGCGTGTTATCATTCTATACTTAAAATATACCAGAATTTTTAAATCTTGTCTAATATATTTATTACACAAAAAACAGATTCAAATTAATTTCAAACTTACATAAATGTTCGCGCATAGTTCAGTTTTTCTTTACAATAAAAAACATAATAAATTATATCGTATCACACCTAAACTTGACAGGCTGTGATTATTACAATTTATTAGCTACCTATCTAATTCGTAAAGACCGACTAGACTAGAATTTAATTTTGGTACACATTTATGCACATTTTAAATAATCTATCTAGATTACTTAAAATGTGCATAAATGTGTTTGTGTGTACAAATGATAATAAACTGAAGTTTTTTTAATTTACAGTACATAACGTTACTATTTAAAGACGTATATGTGGACGACTATAATTTCAATTCGATTTTTTTTTCTTATTTTATGTGTGTATGTACGGGAGATCTGATACCGGCTCAGGATAAATGGCGTGATGTCTGTAGTGTTATTCGTGTATATAGGCGACGGAAACATCTTACTATGAAGTGAGCCATCAGCTTGTTTACCATACTAGTTTGGTACTCACATAGAAAAATCTGTCTAAAAATCTTAATAAACCCAAAAATTTATGACTGTGGATGGATGTATCTTTGTTACTTTTTTATGCAAAACTACTCATCGGATTTTAATGAAACTGGGTAATGTAGCTTATATATTAGAATAACACTTACGCTATATATTTCACCAAGATGATACCGCGGATACAGCTAATAATACACTAAATAGCCTTACGACTGTAATCCCAGGCAGTCAGAGGCGAGGTCAACTGTCGCAGTTGTGGAGAATGCAACAGTCAAATTGATTTTCGCTTGTGTATTTAATTTAATTTAATCCTACCTACCCTAAATTAATAAATTTGGTTAGTTACCGGTATTTTCATCATCCATTGCTTATTTATAAACTCTTTATTACACCTGAATAAAAATATATTAGAAAGGTGAATAACGAATAATCTTAACACAATTTATATTATAATATCTTTTGCCTAATACATTATGAAATTTGAAATATTTTATAATTCACTTTAGTTATATATAAATAGCAAGTAAAAGTTTTGACACTCATTATATTATATTATAACATATATAATCATTATATTATATCATCATTTTATAACAGGCAAGTTTGTCAACTTAGTAATTTTTTTAACAAATTACTAATTGAATGCATTTATTTTCATATTTCTTTATTTTATTCAACTAGCCAGTCGCCCCGGCTACGCACGGGAGCACATGTATTTTATATATAAAACTTCCTCTAGAATCACTGTATGTATTTGAAATACCGCTTCAGAATCCGTAGCGTAGTTTTAAAGATTTAAGCATACATAGGGACAGACAGCGACAGCAATTTTGTTTTATACTATGTAATAATGTTAGTTTTGCATTAATATTTTTAACTATGTAAAAATAGAAATACACGCACGAAAGTATAAAACTAAAGTAAATTCATGAAACTCCCGTACATAGTTATAAAATATTACATCAAAATACTTATATTTAACGATAACAGAAACGTATACCGACACAAATCATTGAAATCGATTAATTTACATTGTATGTGTGCTTATTGCAAAACAAACATATGTGGCAAGGTGGCAATGTTGGTAACAAACAAGCAAGTGCAAATTCCTTTGAAAAAACAACTTACATATAGATCATATATACTTGTTTTTCTAATATATCAACCAAGTATTTTGTAAATGATTTATTCATGAATATATTTTTATATACTGAGTATCTTGGGTACACTGCCTCGATGTGCCGCGTTTGGTTACAATGATTGTTTTTTTTTTTTAAAAGATAATATTGCCGCCTGTTAGTTAGTATTTATACTTCATGCAGATTTCAGTATTATATATTTATACATATATTATATATAGGCAAGGTTATATTTCTTGTTTGTATCCGATAAACACAAAAAATACTCTACCGATTTTAGGAATTCTCTAATCTTTGGACAACTTACTTTCTCATTGAATAGGTTCTATTTCTTTTAATTAAAGATTCCTATAATAACTGTAGCCCGGCCCATTTGGGACTAGTAAGTAGTAATTAAATACATAAAATTTAAATCAGATTGAAAAGTAAGTACCATTGATAATAGATGTACTAAAACAAAAATATTTTGTTTCAGATTACAACGCTGCCCCGCTGTTCGCCTCTGAAAACGCCTCCAGTGGTAAGTTAGAGATTAATTCACATACTACATATATATAAATATTCTCTGATATAAAGAATATCGTAGACTTTTAAGAGAAGTTACTTCTTTTTGCGGAGAAGGGCAAAAGAGGCAAGATGAGGATATGGTAATTATTGCCTACTAATGTATCTACATACGGTAGTAATCTACCATATATATCTTTAGATATATTACCTATACATATAATATTATAAATCAAAGTGGGGGACATTGTTTTATACATAAATTAATTTTATCAAATTAAGCCGCGATAAAATTCGTGATAATATCATAAACTACTAAATTGCTTTTCATGATTGATATCTTAGGATGGTTTAGGTGTACATTCCATTAAGGTTTTGTATAAATAAATATAAATACCCCTGTGAAGCCTGAGCGAGACGCTATTTTAATATAAAAGAAATGTATCTCTCGGAACAAACTTGTGAATAGATTAAATATAATTTCATTTAGTCAATAAAAGTCTATTTAAATTCTAGCGTAGCCATTTTCCTGTAGCATTGTCCGCGAGAAATAGGGTATGCAGACTATATATGTTTGTTATATCTATAACATATATAAATCTATAACATGAAAGAGTTTTGAAAATCAGTCAAGTTTTTTTATTATGTCCTAACAAACAAAAATACAAATAAATCTGGACTTTAATGTAATTAGCATAGATTTCAGAATTTAACACACAAAATCAAACTAATAAGGCTAGACAAATAAATAATGCGCCAAATCGCAAAATACGCGTCTATTATCTAATATTATCTGTGCTACAGAATATGAGAAATCGGTTAAAGATGAGTCACTGATAGAAACCAACACATGACCCAGTTTAAACAAACAAATTGATCAAAATCAAACCTGAGGGCTTATTACACATCAAACGTGGTACAACACAGTGTACATTAGAATTTAATTTAGAATTAAATTAACTATTTAGGAATGGCAACTATTTAGGAATCTTTTTACAATATTTTAATAACATAATTGTATGTACAGACATACAATTGTTTTATTAAAATATTAGTAAGTAAGTAAGCATAAATCTTAAAGTTGTGAAGCTCATTAGAATTTGATGGGTTATTTGATTATATTATATTTTAAATGTGCCCGTAACTTCTGGAATTTTATACATAAATATAATAATAAATCATATGAGATTATAAAGCTAGGTCAAGTGATATTTATTATCAATTGTAAATATAAGTGAATTCCATTATTCTTTTTATTAGGAAAATATCCACGAGAAAACTTCAATTAAGAAAGTATAACTGCTGTGACGAACAGCATTGCAATAAAAATATTGACAGTTTGTCTTTTGTTAAATTTAAATATCTTACGTTGTTTTAGTTGTTATAGTTACCAATTAGTCAATGAGTAACTACATCCGTGCAGAGCCGGTATGGCTAACTAGTCGTCTGTGAAGTTCTATAACCGGAATATTTACTTTGATAATATTATTTATATATATTATAAATGTTTTGTTGGTCGATTTTAAAACAGCGCCTTGTAAAGACTAAATGGTCAGTATAATGTAACTCATTAAAGATTTCTAATATCGGTATGAAGACAAGATGCAAAGAGTGAGCGATAAGCCGTGATTGCAGCGATATAACCAATAGTCACGATAGGTTGTTAACCCAATAAGATAAGTTATCGACGCCAACGCTCGCGGCCTACATACTTCCGCGCTGTTGTTGTATGTTGAAAGTATGTTTACTTCTATTTGTAGGTTAATAAGTTATATTGATTATACAAATTACGTATTAAATCCTTTCAAGATTCCTTTTTTGAGCGTCGTAGCCTAGTGGGTCGTTCATATTTGGCTGACACTATAAAACTTTGTGTCACTTTATAAAGACACACTATGTTTTTTGGTATTGAAAAAATATATTTCTGATTGACTTTATTAACTATCTGTTGAGGGAAACACCAAAGAGTCAATAAACCAAACTAATCAAAAGTTCCATTTAAATAAACCACTAGAATTTGAGTTGCCTTTATGTCTACAGTGGATTATGCCATTGACTACCTAGTTGGGATGACTCTTAAGTCGTAAAAGTATTATAAATTCCTTTTAAGATTTATTATACAACCAGCCACTTGGTCAATAGATATGATCAGAATATATTGATTAATATAATTTCTTGATTAGTTATAACCACCATCACTACTCAAGTTCTATATTACTTCCACTGTTATACAAAACATTATAAGTATTTAAAAAAAGTTTATCAACAACCGTGCATAAAATAACATAACTAGATAAATAGTATCATTATTTTTTACGCCCAACTCACGTTTTGTAACTCTCACTATTACTTTACTTATTATCTCAGAAATATATTGCAGAAACCTGCTTCACAGCAACCTCTTTGAGAGGTTGTGCTTGGGCATAGATCAAAACGAAAATGCATCAGCGCCTGCGGCATTACGAGCCGGCTGTATTGCCGCCTTAGCAGTTTTACTACTGGAACTAGTGGATCTGACCACCTCATTTGTGGGCAAAATTTGTTTCTATTGGCTTTTATGCTTGGAAATCAAAGAAGTTTCACTGAGAAATATTTAGTAATTTAAAAAAGATATTATTAGTGGTTGTTATTGTCTTATTCCTGTAGATGTAAATTGTATGATTTATTTATTATACATTTTTAAATAAAAATAAATATACATTCTTTTCATGAAAAATTATACTTTAGCGGATGTTCTAGAGATTGGTGATGTTGGCAGATCCATTTAGCGAGTTTACTGAAAAACTTTGTTGGCAACATTGCTCACCGGAATGCGTGCTTGTTTCGACGCCTTTTCGAACTATGCATTGTTTTTCTATTGTCTGGAATTTGCACCCATATTAAAACTAATGAAAGAATAAAAAAATACTGATATTACATGAAATCATAGGAAATCATTTTAAACAAAGAAATTGGTTGAGTATTAATAGTCAAGAATTACGTATTATTTTTAAATTAAAAGTATTTACTAAAAACGTGGGTTTGTTAGTTGACTTTCATGTTTATATGTCACCCTTTGATGCATTTTAGAGTTATCCTATTGTTATGAAATATGACATAGATGTAGCTAATATAGATAGAGAAAAATACCGATTAATATATTACAGGTAGAATAATTTATAATTAATTAATTTTGTCAAAATAATAAAAAATAAAAATAAAAAAATAATTTACAGAACAAATTAAATACATAATAATTTGTTTTGTCCCACTTTTCTAATTATATTATAATTTAGTATTTAATCAATATGCTCTGATAAATGACGTTTATTTCGAAATACTCAATCAATATTTTTCTTTATATTGAAATCTATAGTTGATATACTTTATAAAGATTTGTAATACCAAAGAAATTATATACTATGTTTAAACTCTGGCTTCGTATGTACGTGCTACTGGCATCATATCAGAGAAAAACAGCATCGTTCTGCACGGACGCAGTGAACCTCATTATCGGCATACTTAACATCATAATACATGGGGCTATTGCATTATTAAATGAAAGTGGATACAGTAACCTGTGATTTAACTCCATTATATGAGAAACATTGTTAGGCTCTGCTATAATAATGAGAAATTGAAAGTAATTTTTTTAGTAAAACTTTTTTATGCGCTAACATAATAGACAATGTAATCAATATGTCAATTTTTGATATTGACTACTATAAATTTTATTTTTTATATATTGTTTTTATTATATGTATGATAATTATTAGAAAAAATCGGGGTCATTTGTCTGTTTTATCATTTTATTATCAACAATTTATAACATATTTCTAAAAGAGATAAGACAAGAATAAAATCATAAGCAAATCTGAGAAAATGTAAGCGGTATCAGTATATAAGTATATGGTCACACTTAAAAAATGTTTCTTTTCTTTCTAAATTTTATGACTTCCAGTACTGGACATATTATCCTATTTTGGTTTAATATTATTTTAACGGTTATAAAATTTTCATCAGACTGAATATGAATGCTGTTTATGTATCCTTTGTTTTTCTCTAGACAACAAATGCACTTGAATTCGATTATAAATATTTAAAATAAGGCGAACAAACACAATGCAGCGGTTATCCATTCGTTACAGTCCTTTGGAAAACTCCATAATTCATAATTTTATCATCATTTGACTTGAAAATGTTCATCCAGGTGTCGACGTGATGTATTTACTGTGTGTTTCTATGTCTAATGCAAGTTTTAAGGATAAGGCGACGCATACACTATCCGCAGTCAGATAAATTACGTCAATGTGTAATATTAAAATATTATATTTTAGTTTGTGGCGGTAGTTGTACAAATTACTGACACCTACCGCCATTGACAGCTTTGGACTCCAGTCAGCTTGTACCACTGTACATACAGTCGAAACAAATTAGTCCGTGTCAAATAAATTGCAATAAAATATTAAGCTACGACTTATTAATAACACTATGTAAGTAAGTCTATATTAAGATAACTTAATTAATTAGACCAGTCAGATTCGCCAAACAAAGTCCTAAATTTCATCAATATTGGTCACCCTGAAGGCTTTTAAATGTATTATATAAATTGTTCATCTAACAAACGTCGGCTCTATATTGTTAAATTGAAATAAGAAATAAACTATTGCCTTCAAACTACTATAATAATAAAAAATATGAGATGTGTATTACTTTTCATATTTTTCTATGAATAAATATGATTATTCTTATTATTTTACAATAATTTGTTGTAATATATATTTTCTATGCAAAACAATATTATAATGCTTTGAATAATGTTTTTTTTAATATAATAGGAATGGGAAAGAAGCCTATACGATAGTATGTGGTAACCATTGCCAATGTATCATCTAGTTTGTGAAGAGTTACCGTACAAATATATGTTTAGTATAGCTGGTGTTATGTTATTGTTTTTGTTTATGAATATTACGTCATTATTCTCAACCATTACCTCTACCACAGAATATATTACAGTATAGGTACTAATTCTACATT